ATTTGCATAAAAATAAAAATATAGAATATGTATTTATTAATTATAATTCAAAGATATAAAGCAACTAATAAAAAAATGAACAGAAAGATCAACTACAAGATTATTTTCTATAGTTTTCTCTTAATTTTTCAATACCTCTATTGTTAGCATGCAACTAATTTTTAGTGAAAATCACCACTTCAACAATCTTTGCACTCAATGAACTCATAAAGAATCAAGAGTATGAAAATTAGTGAGGAATGTGGACTAGGAAGTAGGACTACACAAAAAGTCACGAAATTGCAAATCGAATGGAAACCGTTGAATTGAAACCATTGGTTTGGGTCCATATGGACCAGTGGTTTTCTTTTCCTCAAATCAAATCGCTTTTAAATGGTTTGGTTTAGGTTTTGATTTTCAAAAATCACACAAAATCGAACCGAACTGAACCGTTTTTAATTTTTTAATTAAAACATTAATTTTATTAACTTTAAAAATTTTACAATTTTCGCTTTTCACAAAAAATGTCAATTTAGCAATACAAATTACAACCAACTTATTAAAATAATCATAGAAAGTAAATTAGTTTCGTCATTTTAGACTTATGATTTAATAAGTTCATAACACATGTCCTCACCTAGCATCTAAACTAAACTAAAATTATACCAAAATCATATGAAATGAATAGATATATATTCAACAATCCAAATCATAATTTAACAAAATTACTTCAGCAAATCATATCCAAATTTCATAAGCCCTAACATAAACTCTCATTTCCTTAACATTTGAAATTTATTTGCCACTGCTAAACGAATCCCTAGTCGCCTTTACCTGTTAGTCTGCTAGTCTCTATCTGAATCGCCTTTTTTTCTCTTCTCTTTCGATAAGTCTTTAATTCTCATTCAAACCGTCATTTCATTATTTTTTCTTTTATTTGTTGTTTTTAAACTTATTATACACTTGTTAATTGTGGTTTGAATAGAAAAATAATTGATTGTATGGCTAAATGATTAATGAACTTGTTTGTAGTTTGAAAGGAACGAGGGACGAATCTTTTTGATTGTGTGAAAATGTTAAAGTTTCTTAACTAGTACTACTATCTTCTACTTTCATAAAGTAGTTAGAGAATGAAATTCGTCAATTTCCAATAAGTGGAAATTCTATCAATCTTTGTACATCTAAATATATCTCGTTTAATTCTTATTTAACATCTCACCAGCAAGACCTAATGAGTTTTAACCAAACTATAATAACAGAATGCAACTTTATATTTACTAACCACTATATGATAATATAAATGTCAAACAAAAAAAGGTAAATAAAAATGAAGTAAGATGTATTTGTTCTATGAACATCTTTTAGCAATTAACTTTGAAAATAATTTATTTATGAATTTCATGATAAATATGAATGTAATTTAATGATTAACTTTATTAGTTATCGTTTAAACTCATATAGTAAATATATTACTATAATGTCGATAGGTAAATCGCGGATTAAAACCAAACCAAACCAAACCGCAAATTATGGTATTTGCGATTTGGTTTGGTTTGGTTTGATTCGAAAAATAAAATAGTTTGGTTTGGTTTAAAAAAATTTCAAATAGCATAAAATTATTTGAGTTGAAAATATAGTACAAACCACCCAAACCAAACTGCGTCACCCCTACTAGGAAGCAATTTTAAAATTTTGAATAACTAATTTGTATGATAATCTTATACATATTTACGTTCAATTTTCACAAAATAATATGTCGAAAGTATTAGTGGTCAAATCTTCACAATGGCCACTTAAATAACTTACAAAATCATTGTAACAATTAACAATAAAAATCTAATAACTAAGTTGAAAAAATGAAGAATAGATTGAGTGATCTGATTAGGAAATTTAGATGTAAACAGGCAAAAATATTATTCAACTAAAAATTTAAGGAAGCCCTTCAAAAATCTGAACACAACTACAAAAAAATAGATAAATTGATGTGAAAGATAAGTCCAAATTCGAGAAATTGTTAGTAGAAGAAAAAGAAATAGTGTGAATTTGAATTAAAATCTATATTTAATTTTCTACTCGATTGTGATGAACAATCGATGAATACGGCTCAACAACAGTCATTCAACGCTTCAACTAATTTGAAGGTTTTGCATTTACAATTGCGATAGCAATGGTGATAATTAGCTATGATTTAATTATTAATTGTAATGCATGATTGCCTATTTGTGTTAGAGCAAAATTGGATGTATCTTTTTTAATTAAGATATTTTAAATTTTACTTGGGTTGGATAGATTTAAATGAATTAATTTTTAGATTTTTTTACAAAAATTGAAACCCAAATCAAACTCTTTTTCAGTTCAAAATCAAAATGTTAATGGATCCACATGGACCCAAATCAATGCTTTCGAAAAGTCATTTCAATTTGATTTTGTGATTAGACGATTTCGTTAGTCAACGCTAATCACAAAGAGGTTGTCAACACATTATTTCAAAGCTGATGCTGGCTCGAAGATAATAAGAATTCTATTTTTTGTCAACGCCTATCAAATTTTATTCATTTACGATGTATTATCCTTGTTTAAAGTCGAGTAGACATTCTACATTAAGAGTTTGTTTGACAACCATTATTGTAGAAAAATAAGAGATTTAAATAGTGATTTTTAAAAGAATGTGTTGTTAAAAAGTAGTGAAATTTTTTTTTTATACATATAGAATATTTTATTATGTGAATGTATGGTTGAAAATATTTCTATAGCAAATCGTAAAATAACTTAATAGGTGTCAAACGGGCATTAAACAAGACCATTCTAAAAATTGAAACTTACTCATAACATTAAGGGCATGGTGTATATCACAATGTTGATACTGCGAGATTTATCTAATCATAAAGGAAAAGATTAATAATATTCAACACCAGTTTAGATAACAATTACATGCAATTAAATGATAAGTTCACTTAAATGTAATGTCTCATGATTCATTTAATTGAACATATCAAATATAACCACCTAAATTGATACTTTAATGAAATTGATGCTAAATATCATTATTCAAAGAAAAAAGATCAAACTAATAAGATCTAAGCAATCCACCAATGTTATGGGGTAACCCTACGCTAAGATGATCTAGCTAATGTCAATGTCTATCCCCTAATGCTAAGTGCTATGATTAGGCTAACAAGTTCATCTTCTTAATGTGAAGATGTTTTCCAGTCTAAAATACTTTTTAAATATAAGTTGCTCCTTAAATTATTTAAATAATATTTTAATAAATTATCTATTGATATTTAAAAAATATGTTAAATAAAATTGAAAGGCAAATCGGTAGGTAGACAACAGTAACTTATAATTTTAAATTTTATTTTTTGAACAAAATTCAAAGTAATAAAGAAAAAAGGTTTTAATTCCATTTATAGTTTGCTTTCATTGTTAGGGATTAAACTAATGATATTGATGAAACTAGTCTTTGAGGTGTTCCGATTGAAACTAATGTTGGGGATGCTATGAATGAAAGCTCGTAAGAAACAATTGTAATAAGATATCAAATGTTTTTATACTTTTTTGTAAGTTTGAGTATGCTCTTAAGTCAAAATATTTGTGTTCGCCAATGCTCATAATATTTATGGTCGTTTGGCAAGGCTTTTGAAAAATTGAAACTAAGATTTTTTTTGAATATATTTGAATAATTTTTTGAAAGAATTTAGGCCCGCTTAGTTTGACTTTTGCTTTTGTGTTTTGCTTCATGTAGAAGAACTTCTAGAGAAATCTACATTAAGTTTTGTTTAAAAACTAATTAAAAGAGATTTATATTCCAAAAGTGTTTTTAAAGAAAATTACATTGAATCAACTTTCTCTAAAAGTTCTTCTAATTAGAATAAACAAGTTTATAAAATTGACCAAATGAGTTGAAAAGCAATATTTGAGTCTCAAAACTCCTTTTAATTTTTCAAAAGCTATACCAAACCTGCCCTTAGCCCTTGTTTTTGTCCCATTATATGATAAAGAATGTATTTTGGAATAATTAATTGATAGAGAATGTGTGATTAAAGAATAAGAAAAAGTTTTAGGTTTGTGCGTAGTATTATTTCGTTGAAAATGAGTTGTTGAAAAGAACAGAGAGGAAAATGTGTTTCGAAAATAATTATAATCAAATGAAGTCTCAGTATATTAAAAGAGCTTTTTATAGAAAATTAGTTTAAAGTGGCTTCTTTAAAAAAAAATGTCTACAAAAAGCAAGCTCTAGGTAAACGGACTCTGAGAGCATCTTCAATGGGCACCCTTCCGCATCAAATTGCACCAAAATTTGGTGTAAACGTCCCTCCAACTGTTCATTGCACCATTTTTTGCACCAAATGGTATAATGTACATTTTGCCCATGATTAAGGGTATTTGTGTCATTTTTATTATATAATAATAATAATAATCATCATCATCATCATCAATTACATTACTAATTATATTATTAAAGTTTATTATTTTTAATAATATAATCAATAATAATTAAGGATTTTTTAATTTAGTAATTATTTTCGTCAATTTAACATAATATATAAAACATGTAAATAATTTAGTAATCAATAATAATTCAATATATTTGTTATTTTAAAGTAGTTATTACCTAGTAATTTATATAGTTATAAAATAAATAAATAATTTTTCAAAATAAATACATTGTCAAAAATCAAAAGAATGAATAAAACAATAAAAATTGTTCATTTGGTGTAAGTTTTGATATAATTGTTGAAAATGAATTTTAGCTTGATGCAGAGTTGAAGATGGAGTCTTATTTGAATTTCATTACATTAAATTTCATTATATTACATTTTTTTCTTCTGTTGTCAGTCATACAATTTTCTATAAAATAATATTATACGTAAATAAAAAATTTCCTTTTTTTTAACCACTTATTTTAAAAAAAAAAAAAATACAATTTCACTCATTTTCATTTTCAAAAAAATGGGAGCCAAACGGGGCTTTAGATAAAGCTATACCCTTTGTTCCCACCACGCCACTTCTACGCCCACGCCACTCCGGTATGCTCTTTTCCCTTATATTTCTGAAACAAAATTATACGGAAATCTGGGTAGACTGCGATTCACCGTCGAAAGAATTAGAGAATCAGTATTCCTTTTCTTTCCAAAAATGGCTTCTTTTTCTCTTTCTACCAATCATTCTCTTCCTTTTCCACTGTATGCTCAAACCCCAAAACTCTCATTATTCCAAAATCTTTCTCCCCTTTCTAGATACTCTCGGTCTGAAGCTGTCTCCTTCATCCTATCTTCCAATCCCAGTTTCTTCTCTGGTCAAAAGTTCTATTGTAGCCAAGGTACATTTACGAAGAACATTTATCTGCAAGTTTCTTAAAATTTTACACCCCACCCTTGTTCTTCAAGATAATAGATTCCATTTTCCTGCAAGTAATTTTGAAGGAAAAAAAATAGCATATTATGTTCTTGTTAATTTTTCAGTTCCTATTTTTTAAACGGTGCGGTTCCACCACCGTTTACATTGAAAGATCAAGATGGGAGGAATATAAGTCTTTCTAACTTCAAAGGCATGCCTGTGGTGGTTTATTTCTACCCTGGTGATGAAACCGCACGAAACAGGTACATATATATAGAGCATCCAAATTGGCACAAATTTTTGTACCCTTTTAATTGGCAATTCTGAGTTTTCTTTATTCGAAATTGATCAGGCATCCATCTACTTTCTTGATTTTTTTGGATCAGAAATACCTCTTATGTTAGAAAGGAAAGGAAAAAAACTATTGGGGTAGGAAATTCATGAAGCTTGATAAAACAGAACTTTAGCTTATTTGACTTTTGGAAATTTTATTGTGTTTCGTCATAGATAATATATGTTGAACACTGACAGCTGCATAAGATTAAGATTTTGAGAAGAATGATGGGTGTTGTTGATGCCGACTTGCCACAAATCACAATGATAATAGAGAATGAGAATATGTTAGGAAGAGAGAAATGAGGGGAAGATTGTAGTTTTAATTCAATAATGAAGTGTGTCTATTACAATCAAATAACCTCAATGACTGAACTAGGTCTGATAATTATGATGTGACGTATTAACTTAAAATCATACGCGAGTAACAATAACTTTATTGTACCATTAAACACCATGAAACATGCTATGGGTACATCAAATTTCACAGCATGGTCTACAACACACACACATGCAATAGGTGGGGTCCGCAATTAAAATAATCGCGGACTTCACCTTTGTGAGGAGGCTGTGAAAAAAAATTGTAAAAGAAATGCTGTACAATCAGCTTTTTCCTAAACACCATAAACATATTCATTATGTGAGATTCTAACCGTGTTCTTTTCTACTTTCCAAACAATACATATTTGAATTTAAGACACCCAATAATTGCTTTTCCATCTTTCCCAATCCAACCATCCTTATGTTCCCACATTCAATTCTACATTTCATGTACCTCGTGGGATGCATGGCTATGTAACACGCGAATAAAAAATTGTGAGTTTTAAGTTCTCAAGAAATTTGAATTTACTTTTATCGTAGTCAATATTTAGACATTTTCAATGTTAAAGATGAACGTCATGTTATACCAGCACAAATAAAGGCGAAAAACTCGTAAGATTATAATTTGATACTTAATTAATGAATATTGTGGTAGGTGGAGAATATAGTTTTATATATTCACTAAGGGGGAGACAAAAGTAGTGGAGTAGGTCGATTTGATTCTTCTCAAATTTAAATTGAGAAATTGGAATTAGAACACTAAACAAAAAAGGTAGGGTTACAAGGTCCCAATCATTCTCTGCATTTCAGGACGTGCATTTATTACCATCAATGAAGATAGAAGTTGGAAAAGAGAGATGCTACAGTCACGGGCTCCAATCCAAGGCTGAGGTGGCTCATGCCTCAGCCCTTGATCTTTAATACATGGAGCCCGCGCCATTTAACATCAAGGGTTGAGGTGTCAGGGATTGGAGCCCAGGATTTAATCCCGAGCTCTGCAGCTTTTCTAGTTGGAAAAATAACTAAAAACAAGGAAAATCCTATTTGGCCAGCTCCCTAGCGGCCCCTGCTTTTTGGCCAAGCTCAATTTTTGGCCTAACCTTGAGCTGGCCAAAAAGCAGGGCTCAAAAAACAACAATGAATTCAAGAGGAAAGCAGGCTTTGCTTTGCTTTCAATGTCATCTAGTGGACGTGAAACATTTCTCTCCAACAAGTCAAGTTTATTACAATTTTATTTAATTTAGAGTGCATTTGATTGTCAATATTTTTCATGAAAAATGTATTTTTTTACCAAAAATCTTACTTTTATATTGTTTGATTGACATTTTTTCCCATTGAAAACATTTTCCTACTTTTGGTCATGTGACCATATTTTACTCAAAATAAAAAAATAAAAAAAATTATATATATATATATATATATATATATATATATGGGGAGTAGAATTTTAT